GAAGTCCTAAGTTCAAACTCAGCAGTGCCCAATCACTATAAAACATTTTTTTAAAGGCTACCTTAAAAAAAAGCAAAAAGAAGGCAGGGCACCAAAGGGGAAAGAATTCAAATAGCATGCCTTTGAGTGTTCCTTTTAAAACAATTCTATGCAATTACTATTACAGAAGCCCTACCTCCACGTGATGCTTTCCATGGTTTTAGTTGCCTACAGTTAGCTGCTTCCTGAAAATATTAAATGAAAATCCAGGTAAATAACTCACAACTTCAAAAGCATATGTTGTTCTGAAGAGTGTGGGGGGGATCTTTTTTTTTTTTTTTGTTGGCTGTGGGGCCTGAACTCTGGGCCTGGGCATTGAGCTCAAGGTTAGCGCTACCACTTGAGCCATGACGCCACTTCCAGCCTTTTCTGTTTATGTGGTGCTGAGGAATCAAACCCAGGGCCTCATGCATGCAAGGCAAGCACTCTATCACTGAGCACCTTCCCAGCCCCAAGTGTGGGAGAACCTTATGTAATCCTATTCTGCCATTTCTGGAATATGAATCACCCCTTTATCTAGAGTATCTCTAGATACAGGCATATACTGCCACCTGTTAGTCATCCAAAAATATTCTCAGTTATTGGGTTATCATTAAGACATCAGTATTTCAGTGCTTGTATTTTAAATAACCCTTATTTTACGTAGTAATAGTCTTAAAGCACAAAAGTAATGATTCTGGGCAATTTTGTTATAGTATATTACTATAAGTTCTATTTTATCATTATTATTGTTAACCTTTTCTTGTGGCTAATTAAACATCATTAGTATGTACCTATAGGTACACACAGAACTTGAAGGTCTTAGAAAGAATACACTGGATGGTAAAAGACAAAAAATACACTGGGGCATGATAACTTATATAGGACTCTAGATACTCACACAGTGAGACCAAAATAGGATATTCTTAGGGGAGAATCACAAAGGCTCAATAGCTATGTGCATTTGATCACATAAAATGATATTTATCGAAATGAACTCCAAGAAATAGAAACAAGAGGTTTTTGTTTTTTGTTGTTGGTCATGGGACTTAAACACAGGGCCTGGATACTGCCACAGAGTCACTTCCGGTTTTTGAGTGGTTAATTTGTAGATAAGAATCTCACAGGGACTTTTCTGCCTGGGCTGGCTTTGAATCACAATCCTTAGATCTCAGCCTCCTGAATAGCTAGGATTGAAGGTGTGAGCCACCAGTGTTGGGCACTTTTTGTTATTTTGTTTTGTTTTTTTCCTCCTTGATTGTGTTTTTGTTTTCTGTACCTTTTGTCTTGTTTGTAAGTTTATCTTTTTGGGGGAGCATAGAAATGGTGGGACAAAGAATGAACTCACTAGACATTATGATAAAAATAAACTATACAACTTGTGTGGGGAACAGGAGGGAAAAACTGGGAGAAAGAGAGGGAAGGAGAGAGACAGTTTAAAAAGAAATGTACTTTTTACCTAAATTACATAACTAACCCCTCTGTACATGACCTTTACAATAAGAATTTAAAAAAAAGAAAGTACTCCCATAGATACAGGGGATGCTATTTCATAGTAAAGAAAACAAAGTACCCTTAAATATAAATGACTGAAATAGATAAAAATTAACATTCAGATGCAGTTTCTTTTTCACTTACAAAGACAAAAGGTATCTTAAGATTTCCAGAGACACTCTGACACATACTTAATGTGGACAATGAAACAGAATTGCTTGAAACATGTCTGTCAAGAAGGTGCTAAGACAGAAAATTATAAACTCTTTGTCAGTCTCACTGATGGATGGATTTACTAGTGGAGACAGGTTTTGACTAAAAGCATGTACTATGTAGCCATTCTTTGTTGGGGGAGTGTGTCACTAAACAAGGCTGGTTATCTCTATCATCCACAGACAGGGCTGTCTGTGGCCAGGTAATCTTATCTGTATGTAAATCTTGCCTACATTTTTCTAGGTACATAGAACAGAAAATGGATTTAAATGATATCAATGGGGCTTTTTAGGTTAAACAACAGAAAGGTTTCCAGCCATACTGTTACTGATACAATCTTCTGAAATCTTTAAGCAAAGAACAAAAAATCCATATATTGGAATCATTTCAGCTTTAATTCCTACTACAGGCATAAGATACAAATAATAACTATTGAAGTTGCCTTTCTATTCCAAAGTTAATTACTGAATGATTCCATATATCTGAAATTAAAGAATGGGGAATAATATTCTATGGTGACAGAAACGTGGAGCATGATTGACTCTCCTGGTACAGGTAACTGACTGGAAAGCACAAGGGTGAATTTTTTTTTTTTTTGGTCCAGTCGTGGGGCCTGAACTCTGGGCCTGGGCGCTGTCCTTCAGCTCTTCAGCTCAAGGCTAGTGCTCTACCACTTGAGCTACAGCGCTACTTCCAGCTTTTTTCTTTTTGCATATGTGGTGCTGAGGAATTGAACCCAGGGCCTCATGCATGCAAGGCAAGCGCTCTACCACTGAGCCACCTTCCCAGTCCCCAAGGGTGAATTTTTAACATTATGAAAAAGTTTGAAGCTGATTTGGGGTGGTGGCTATGCTGATACAAGTATCAAGTCACCAAATGGGACATTTGAAATCTATGCATTTTACTGAGTATAAATTATAACTCAGTTTGAAGGATTTCAAAGTTTTGGGAGGAGTTAGTAAGCATCAATATTAAGGAGTGGGACAGGAGAAAATGAACATGACCTCAATAAAGTTCTATTGAACTAAAACCAAGAAAGGAAGAACTGCTCTGGCTTCTCATCAGTCTCCATGCTGATTAGCTAACAGGCTATTCCAACAGAATGCCTCTCCTTTGACTGGCATATATGTTGTAGAGTTGAGTCAACTATATTGCCTGAATGATGGACATGGAGGTATGAAAGAGTGATCATACTATTCATACAACATTTCTGATTGTCTTGAGGTACAGTTACAGCAGCTTACACTGGGCCATCATTGAGTATTTTGCTCTTTGGCCAATATGGATAATGGCTTCATACCTACTAGCATTGAAAGAATATACAGAGAGAAAAACAGATAAAGAATTTCACTGATATAAGTTGATATGTTTCATTGATATAAGTGAAGCGAGCAAATTTAAGACTTAGAAGGATGCCTCACCCAGGCTGAAGCCCTATCTGCCTTTCTTTTTCTAGAACTGTGAGGCTGAAGGATGACATCTGCTAAGTGCTTGTACCAATTCCAGATGACTTGCACACATTAGAAAGGGCATCTAGCAATAACAGGATGCTCATTCTTTTCTTAGAGTCACACTGTAGTCTGTCTGACACATGGTAAACAGTAGTAGATGCCTCAAGCATTTGGATTGTGGAGTATTTTTTAGCCTGACAAGTGATTTTCATACTAAATCTCAACAGTCTCTGCTTTTCCTCACCAACCAGACTTTTCTGTAATTTTAAGCCAATGGTCCTAGATAAAATTCTCTAAGAACTAATATCTCAATATTAATACCCTTACTTAATGCCCTAGATTAGGATTTTAAAGAGGCAAGAAGCTTAGTGAAGTAGAGACAAGGCCAGGCATGGCTGATGCATGCCTGTAATCCCAGGCCTCAGCAGGTAGATCCAGGAATATAATGAGTTTGAGGCCAGCCAGGGTGGTATAGTGTAGTTAAAATCAGCCTAGGATGCACAGCAAGACCTTGTCTAAAAAAAACAAACAATAAAGGTTTTTTACTGACTAGTGGCATTCTATATAAAACTTCTTTGTTATAATTCCCTGGATTATAACAAGGTTATATGGTTCATTTCAATGCTTTGTAATTTATTACTTAAATTCTCTAAGCAGAGTTCCCCAAAGGAACTTTCCTATATTTACTCTTCTTGACTCCAAAAGCCTTTTCAAGTCTTTAAAGAGCTGTAGAGATGCTGATATTTGTATGCATGCAAACACATATACATACTTGCCCCAAGGGAATTTCTATGTGTTATTTCTAAACAACATAACTCATACGTGGTGAAACAGCCTCAGCTTCAACTAAAGGTAGGCAATTCTCATTGCTGTTGTTACCATTCATCAGTACTGTTTTGGGAAAGCTGCCATCGATTGCATGAGATTTTTTTTTCTTACTTTTTGAGACAAGGTCTTATTAAGGATCCCAGGTAGTCTCAAACTTGTGGCTTTCCTGTCTTAACCTCCTAGAAGTGCTGAAATTATAGGCATGTACCAACAAAATCTTAGGGATCTTGACTAAAATACAGGCAGGTCAACAATAATTTACTATTTATATCTTCTTTGCTAAAGTCAGTTCACTGTTGATTTCCCCTATGGGTCATTAAGCATAGTCATGACAATATGAGATATGAGAATACATATCCAATAAACTGAAGGGTACTAAAAGGCTATCGGTTTATATGATTGCCATAAAAAAGCACATTAATCAAATCACTTCAAATAACTTAGTCAAAACCAAATTCCTTTCCTCCTGCAAGTAGTTGTGAGAAGACACTCCCCAACCCAGCATTCTCTAGTGTCTGAGTGACTCATAAGATGACCTATCTTTAGCCATGCTGGATACAGGCTTTACCCTTCAGAAAAGAGTTCACTGCTAGGCTTTAAAAGTTTGGAGTAAGTCAAATATAAATTATTTGTAGACTGTCTGATGTTTTACATTTTCCACACTTATTTTCTTTTCTATTAGTGTAGATCCATGGGGAAATGTCATCATTTTTCAATTTTCTTCCAAAGATTTCAAAGTATTTGATAAAATCTAGTAACAATCAAGAGAGAAAGAAGTGGGGCTTAATATGGTGTTAGTGATTAGCAGCTGGCACAGACAGATAGTAGAAACTTGTTTATGAGTATGGGCACTGTTATATCACATAAGAAAGTACTACCAACTCACACTGGCAATAGCTCCCAAATTTTCATAGAACTTGCTATTTTACTAAAATTGTATTCATAAGAACAAAACTGAGCCCTAAGGGGACCATGCCTCACTGTCTTGTCACTTACCCATGTTTCTTTGACCTCTTCAGAGACATCACCCTCATCTTCCTGAAAAGGAAAGAAGAAAAACAAGAAAATCATGGTCACTGGTGTCTTTGAAACCAGCAAGGTCAGTTCCTATCAGCTATGCATCTTACTATTTCAAATATGGGAAATGGGGATTGACAGCCAAGTGATGCTCTGTTATTGCCACTTTTAACAACTGTCACAGGGAGGCACCTTTGAAATGTTACCAGTCAAAAACATCAAGTCAACAAAAGCTAAAAATGAGGCACTTTAAAAAAGCAAGATTTCATTTCATCTCTGTCAAGTTATCACCTATGGACAGGTAATATAGCTTAATGGTATAGTCATTTGTTTACTTGGCATGTGAAAGGCCCTAGGTTTGATCCCCAGCACTAGAGAAAAAAGAATTACCACTACATTGGTCCTATAACTAAGAAACACTTTCAGCTAAAATATACTTCCTAGTAAATAACTATTTTTTATTTCACTTAACAGGTTTATTTAATTTCAAATGAATCACTGATAATATGTAGTCTTTAGTTCAAACTGTTGGGCATTTCATTTAAAATGTCAGCAGTAAGGTTGAGTGAAAAGAATCTAGAACAGGATACAGAGGAGAATGCTCTAAAGTATTGACTGTTTTGTAGTTAGTAAGCATTGGTGTACCTCTTTAAAGACTCAAGTCTTCTGTTTTCTATTATTTGTTCTTTTTTATTTCTCTCCAAAAAGTAAAAAACTAGGTCAACAAGACTTAGATTAACCTACAGATTATTAGGCTCTAAACTTATGTGTAGTAGGATACTATTGAGTCTATGAGTTTCAGGAGTTATTCAGGAGGACTGCTAAAGTTTGCCAAGTTTAGTCACTTCTTTTAGTTGTTTATATGGTAACTGTAAATGGCTAGCTTTTTAAAATTCCTTATCCATTAAATACTGAGTGCCTACAATATGTTTCGTACTGTTCTAGTCATTGTGCACTTAGAAGGAACACATCAAATGGGTCTCCTACTAGCTGAATCTTTCTTCTCTTTTCCTCAGTGATAGTTCTTGGTAATCTTCTAGGTCAGGGCACCATGTAGGGCTTATCCTCTTCAACTCCACAGAAAGAAGATGGCAGCCATGGGAAATGTGGTATGCCCGAGCATGGACTAACCCACTTACATCCTTTGTCCAGAAGTTGATGCCTGTGCCTCTTCGCCGCCGCCTCCTCTCTCGGATGGAAAGCCTATCAGAGGACTGATCATCTAAATCTGCTTCTTTGCTCTCTGGTCAGAGATAAAACACAGTATGTATCTTAAGAAGCTGAGGCATGTGCACTGGGGAACAGTCAACATCTTTCCAAACTATACATACCACTCTTGTCCATTTCCTTTGCAGTTGTAGTATTTGTGGTGGTCTCTGAACTCTCAGAATCAGGGGCTGAAGATTTGCTTGTCTGTAGCAGATGGGAACTGGTATAGAATGAAGGTCTTGATGTAGAAGGAGACACTGGTGTTGTGGGCTTGTCTAGCTGAGATGGATACCTCATGTGATGATAGACAGGCTAGAACAAACCAGAATGAGATATCAGAGGTCAAACAGAGCCAAACAATAAGGATAGTAGACTTATTCAATATTATTCTATTTCATCCTCCTTAATGCTAGGATTATAGGCATGTACCACCATGGCTGGTTCAAATGAGTGGTTCACTGCATGGTAGAGTATCACTAGAATTCTCCAAATCTATTCTGCTTGTCACACAGCCAGAATAAATTAGCTCACCTCTTCCCAGGGTTGCTGACCTTCCTCAGCTTCCTTTGCTGGGGCTATGGAGGGATCCTGCTTCTCAGTGCTCTTCTCTGGTGCTTCAGTGTCTACAGGCTTCTCTCCAGGCTGCTCCTGAGCTTGCCTCTCTGCCCTTGACCGGCTGAAAGTCCTTTCTGCTTCTTGAAGGTCTGTTAGGGTAACACCCTAGGAAAATATCTCAAGATCAGGACAGTTTCACACTAATATGGAATAACTTGAGCAGGGAAACTCTCTCCAAAATCAAATAGTTATTGAATCCCATTATGGTCCCAAAATGTACAATGAAGACATTTAAATGCAGGATTAAAATAAACACCACAGTATGTAGAGAACTCAGGCTTGAGTCTAGATACATTTTGAATGCAATACTTTAGCATTCCTAATGTTATCTCCAGAAATAGGCCAACATTGATGTCTGCCTGTCATAGGTATACTTCTTCCATGTACATAGTGTTCATACATAGGTGCTACAGGTGTACTTCTTCCATATTCATAGTGTACAAAGTATCTTTTTTTTTGGGGGGGGTCCGGTTGTGGAGCCTGAACTCTGGGCCTGGGTGCTGTCCCTGAGCTCTTCAGCTCAAGGCTAGTGCTCTACCACTTGAGCCACAGTGCCACTTCCGGCTTTTTTTCTTTTTGCTTATGTGGTGCTGAGTAATCAAACCCAGGGCCTCAGGCATGCAAGGCAAGCGCTCTACCACTTAGCCACCTTCCCAGCCCCAAAGTATCTTTATTTGAACACTCTTACTCTCTCTCAAGATCAAATGGCTAACCAGAGATTCTCTCAAAAGCAGTTACTGGGAAAAAAATGCTAGAAAAATCAGACACAATTTCTTCAACAAATGGTGCTGGAAAAATTGGTTTTATAGCCAGGCACTGGTGGCTCATACCTGTAATCCTAGCTACTCAGGAGGCTGAAATCTGAGGATTACAATTCAAAGCTAGCTCAAGCAGGAAAGTCCCTGAGACTCTTATCTTCAATTAACCACCAGAAAACCAGAAGTGGTGCTGTGGCTTAAATGGTAAAGTGCTAGCCTTGAGCTGAAGAGCTGAGGGACAGTGCCCAGGGCCCAGAGTTCAAGCCCCACAACTGACGAAAGAAAGAAAGAAAGAAAGAAAGAAAGAAAGAAAGAAAGAAAGAAAGAAAGAAAGAAAGAAAGAAAGAAAGAAAGAAAGAAAGAATTATCTACATATAGAAAATTGAAACTAGCCTTCTCTTATCCTGCACAAAAACCAATTCAAAATTGATCAACGATATTTTTCTTTTTTTGTTAATCGTGGGGCTTGAACTCTGGGCTTGGGCACTGTCCCTCAGCTCTTCAGCTCAAGGCTAGTGCTCTACCACTTGAGCCACAGAGCCACTTCCTGTTTTCTGAGTGCTTTATTGGAGATAGGAGTCTCACTGACTTTCCTGCCCAGGCTAGCTCTGAATTGTGGATCCTCAGATGTCAGCCTCCTGAACAGCTAGGATTACAGGCAAGAGCCACCAGTGCCTAGCTTTTGATCAACAATCTTAATGTAAGGTCTAGAACTTTGAAACTATAACACAAAAATACAAGGAAATCACTGGAAGATATAGGCACAGACAATTATTTTCTGGATAGAATTCCAATTGCCTAGAATATAAGACCAAGAATTAACAAATAGGATTTCATCAAATTAAAAGTTTTATACATCAAAGGAAACAGTTACCAGAATCAGGAGACAACTCACAGAATGCTATTCAAGGAATAAAGGCTCAAAAGATGAAAATTCAGAGCTAGCTTATAACAACAATAAAAAACAAAAACAGAAACGAAAAAAAAAACGCTTTTACTACCCTAGATTAGTTTTTCTCTAACATTATTTCCTAAGTAATTCTGGGAATCATATAGAAATGTTTATATTCCCCTACCATTTATCTCTCACTCATTTATCCAATAAATACAGATGTGGATTGTTTATTTACTATATGCTGTGGGAGAAAATTATAAACAAAAATATGATCAGTCTCCTACTTCATTTCCATTAGGATGGTGAAACCAGGAAACAAGTACTAGCAAGAATGTGGACAAATTAGAACCTTGTGCAATACCTACAGGAATATAAATTGGTGGGTCTGCTATGGAAATAGTATGGCAGTTCCTCAAAAATTTAAAATAGAATTACAGGGTACATGCCTGTAATCCCAGTATTAAGGAGGAGGGAGGCTCACAAATTCAAGGCCAGCGTAAGGTCCATAGCAAGTTCAGACTAGTTTAAACTAACATAGTGAGACCCTGTCTCAAAAATCTTAATAGAAGTAAATTAATTAATTTAATTAGAAACGACTACCATATGATGCAGCAAATTCCAATTCTAAGTATATATCCAAAAGAACTGAAAATAGGATCTTGAAAAGACAGTATGGCAGACAGTATACACCCATGCTCATAGCAGCATTATTCACAAGTCAAATGTCTATCAATAGGCAAATGGATAAATAAAACATGGCATATACATACAATGGAATATTACCCAACTTAAAAAGGAAATTGTCATACATGCTATACAATGGATGAATCTTGACATTATGCTAAGTGAAATAAGTTAGATACAAGCAGACAAATAACTATATGATTCTACTTATGTGAGATTCCTAAAGTAGTCAAATTTATAGAAACAGAAAGTAGAATTACTGGCTGCTAGGGATACGTAGGGAATAACTGCATAATGGTACAAGTTCTAGAGTGGTGACAGCTGCACAACGAGGTCACTGCACTTAATACCAATGACCTATGCACAAAATGGTTAATTGGTAAATTTTATGTTATGTATATTTACTGCCATAAAACAAAAAACACTGAGTCTTGGTCCTCATGGAGGATACATTCTAATAAGTGGAACACACAAATAATCATCAAGCAAAAATAACGGCAGAATATTTGACCCACTTGGGAGGTCCAGGGAAGACAACAAGGGCCTTTTGCTGCAATGCACAATGTCCTGTTCGCAGTCACCACGTTCCCTATTTGACTTCTGTAGCATTTAAATCTGGCAAACATATCCTTTTTGCTGGAAACTGATTTTTCCTTCATTTCCAGTGTCACTGCTCTTTTCTGGTTTTTGTTTCACTTTTCTGTATATTCGTTTTCTCTCTGCTACATGAGCTCATCTTTCTATGACTCCTTAAGTAATTAATTTATAGCTTTCTCTCCATTGTCACTGCCATTTCAACCTGGGTCAGGAACTTGTCATTTTCAGCTTGGACCACCATTAACAGCTGCCTAGCAAGTCTTCTGGTTTTTTGCCTTGCCAAACATATTCTACTACCACTCCCATTAATTCTCTGAATGGAGATTTTTGTTAAATATTATGTAGATTGTATCACATGCTTCCAATGGCTCTTGCGATACTTTTCTTTTGCTTTTGGGTGATAATTTATATTGAAATATAACCTGCATATCATAAAATGTACTCTTTAAAAAGTGTATAATTCCATGGCTTTTAGTATGTAATAGTTATGCAATTATAACTGATAATAGTAGAACATTTTTGTCACCCCCAAAGAAACCTTATGCCCATTAGTAGTTAACTCTCATTCTTCCTCCCTGAAGCTGCTTATGCTAATTAACCTTCTTTCTGTCTGGTTGTGCCTATTTTGGACATATAGAGTCCATTATGTCTGGTTTCTTTCACTTATTGAGTTTTATCCATATTGTAACATGTGTCAATACATCATTAGTTGTGTTTTTTTTGGTCAGTTGTGGGGCTTGAACTCTGGGCCTGGGTGCTGTCCCTCAACTCTTGAGCTCAAAGTCAGCGCACTACCTCTTGAGCCACAGCACCACTTCCCATTTTCCGGTAGTTAATTGGAGATAAGAGTCTCATGGACTTTCCTGCCCAGGCTGGCTTTGAACCTTGATCCTCAGATCTCAACCTCCTGTGTAGCTAGGATTACAGGTGTGAGCCACCAATGCCCAGCTACCTCATTAGTTTTTAATGTCATACAACATTCTACTGTATGGACATACATATTTTGCCTATTCACTCATTAGTTAATGGATATACATAAAAATACATACATATATGCATTTGTCTATACATGGGATATTATTATTTGTTCCTATGAATTAGTGGTTTGTTTCTACTCTGGATATTATGAATAATGCTATTATAAACATCAATATACAAGTTTGTCTGTTTATTCCTCTTGCCAGTCCTGGAGCTTGAACTCAGGTTCTGGGAGCCCTTCTTTAGCTTTTTTGCTCAAGGCCAGTGCTCTACTACTTGAGCCACAAGTCTACATGGCTTTTTGGTGGTTAATTAGAGGTAAGTCTCATGGACTTTCCTGCCTTGGCTGGCTTCCAACTTTAATCCTCAGATATCAGTCTCCTGAGTAGCTAGGATTACAAGTTATATACAAGTTTTTATATGGGCATATGTCTCTAATGTATATACCTAAAAGTAGAATTGCTGGGTCAAATGAAAACAGTTGGAGGAACAGCTAAACTGCTTTTCCTTAGAGAATCTTAAAATATAACGGGGTAGAGAGATTGTTCACATACTTAAGTACAAGTAGAATAATTCATTTTGCTTAGAACTTGGAGAAATGAGACAGGTGCCAAATAGAAGTGAAAGAGTAGTCAGATGCAGCTATTGAGTGCAATGGAAAATTAAACTTAAAGAAAAACTTTAATACAGTAGCTGGAACAAAGGCATTTGTTGTAGAATATTTAAAATGCACATCTAGTGGAAAGGTAGACAAACAAAAATACATTAGTAAAAAGAAAGTTTCACCCACTTGAGTAGATCTTCGCGTCTGCCGAGCTTGTCTGGAACGTGCTTTCCGTAAAGACTCTGCTTCCTCATCACGTACAGGAGTCAGATAGGACCTGTAGAGAAAAGAATAGGCAGAAATAAGAGCACTGTTCAAGGAATGACAAGATGCTGCCATTCCTGAAGAGATGTCTACACTCTAAGAATGAACCTTGCCAGAGTCAAAAAAAAACAAGAATTCTATTCAGCATCAGTAAATGTGACAGTATTCAAGAACATTATTTCTAAATGTGTTACCCTTCATAAGAATCGGTAAAATAAAGATTTTATTTCTTCCTTCTCTAACTAATTTCTATTTCCTTTTTTGCCATCATGCTTTGAGTTGAAGTTCTAGGACAGGGCAAAAGGAGATATACATGCTTTCTGTTCCTGACTTCAGAGAGAACACTTTCAGCATTTTTATCATTAAGTGTAACACCTACTGTATTTTTTTTCAGATATGACTTATCAAATTAAGGTAATTCCTTTTCCTTTCTATACAAGTCATGCTAAGAGAGTTTTATGTTATATATTTTAGCTTTTTTCTTTTCTTTCTTCCCTCCTCCTCCCTCCCTCCTTCCCTCGCTCTTCTCCCTTTCTTTTCTTTTCCCTCTTTCCCTTCCTTCCTTCTTTCCTTCCTTTTCTTTCTCTCTTTGTTTTTCTGTCTGTCTTTTGTGCTGAGGATGGAATCTAGGGCCTAGCATTCTTCATCTGAATTACATATCCAACCCAAGATGCACCATTTTTTAAAAATGTAGATGTAGTTTTAATATAGATTCATTATTATTTAGTTTAAAATTCCCATGTTCACCTTCTTTTTTTGTCGGTCATGGGGCTTGAACTTTGGGCTAGGGTGCTGTCCCTCAGCTCTTCAGCTCAAGGCTAGCGCTCTACCACTTGAGCCACAGAGCCACTTTCTGTTTTCTGAATGGTTTATTGGAGATAAGAGTCTCACAGACTTTCCTGCAGGGCTGGCTTTGAACCGCAATCCTCAGATCTCAGCCTCGAGTAGTTAGGATTACAGGCATGAGCAACTGGCACCCAGCTTCTATGTTCATGTTCTTAAAAGAAATTTGGCCTATAATTTTCCCTTCTGGCAATATAGTGGCTAGCTTTATGAATGAGTTATATGAGTTAGGAAATTTTCCTATTCATTTTCTGTAAAACTGTGTATAAGATTTAGATTTCCTTAATGATTTCACCAATAGAAGAATAATAGAATAAGTTTAGAGTACTCTTTGTAGGAAAGTTTTAAATAAAAGTTTCACATTCTTAAATGGGTGCTGGCAGATCATACCTATGATCCTAGCTACTTGAGAGGCTGAGATTGGGAAGATCATGATTCAAGGCCAGCAAGGGAAAAATTATTGAAAAACCCTATTTCAATCAATATCTGGATATGATCGTGTGTGACTGAAATTCTAGCTGCAAAAGAGGCTAATATCAGGAGAATCATAGTTTCAGGCCAGTGTAGGTGAGGAGTTTGTAAGATCCCTATTTCAACAAAAAAATTTGGGTGTGGTGGTACACACCTGACATGCATGATATTATAATATCATGTCTTAATCAGTCATTTGGAAGATCTATCCAGTATTCACAAATTTAAGACAGGGTCTTATTTTAAAGCCCAGACTAGATTGGTACTCACTCTTTATCTTAAGGTTGGCCTCCAATTTGCAATTCCTGCCTCAGCCTCTGAAGTGCTGGGATTACAAACATACATTTTCATGCCCAAGTAATACATACATTCTTTAATATAACTTTGGATCTTTAAATAATCTTTAAATACTGGGAAGTTGTCATCATTTACAATGACAACTACAAATTTTCTAAAACTAATTTTTGAACTATATAATGCTTTTATTACCAGAATGTTTCAAGCACTGATCTTTTTATAATTCTGCAATACTGCCTAAGATTCCCAGTTTTACAATATCCAAGTAGAAGTGTGATTCTGTTGCAGTTTTTCAGAACAGTATACAATCTTTAGCTTTCATGGTTCAGATCTAATGAGAAGAAACAGGTTTACTTTGGCCTGAGATACATATGACCACAAAAGAGCACGAAAGTATAAATTTGCCCCAAGCACACTGTTTGAGCATTGAAAGTTTAAATTCTATAATGGACAACAAATAATTACCAGGCTTGTTTTGTTTTGTTTTAGTTTTCAAGGAAATACCAAATGACCAAATCAGAAAAACCATTGCTTAACTACCTTGTAAAAAATGGTACTCTGTGGATTGGTACTCCTATTGTATACTCTAGGTCTTATTGGCCATGTTTTAAGTATTATATGCCTTTCATATCCCTTTATCTCTCTTAGTTTCAGTCACAATATCTTCTCTCTTTCCTCTCCTTCTTTCCCTCCCTTTTCCCCTTCCTTCTAGGAATACTGCTTTTGAACTCAGGATCTTAACACTGGGCAGGTGCTCTACCATTTAAACCATGCCACCAGCTCTCACATTTAGCTGGTCTGCTATAAAACCACCAACTGAATTTCTTAATTTCAGTTATTTCCACTTGATTATTTTTTAGTATATTGAAGTTCTCTGGTGAAATTCTCTATCTTTTATTTCCTTGAACATATTAATCATAATCATTTGAAAACCCATGACTGATAATATCAACATCTATATTCCTATAATCTATTTTGTTTTTCTTTTTGTTATTTGCAAAATCAATTTTATATGTTGGCATATCTTAGTAATTTTAAAGTAAAACCAGAAACATATTTAATTAAAAAATATAGGGAAAACTTGTGGAAGATATCATCATCCCTCAGAAAGAATATTCTTTACATCTGACAGTAATGCTAAGAAACTCCTTCTCAAATTTTCACTTGTGTCAGAATTACTTGCTAGGTTCCCCAACCCGATTCTAAGTTTGGGTGTAAGGCTAAGAGTTTTATTCCTGTTTATTTCTCAGCTGATGATGCTGACCTAGAGACAACACTTTGAAAACCATGTGGCTGAGACACATAATCCTAATCCATTTTGAGACTGAGTTGCTTGGAAGCTATCCTTCCATCTTTGTGGGGGCTGCTCTATTTCTAGCAGGGCCGTAAGAGTAAGATCTTCAATGGTCCCAGATGACAGCCTGGGTTAGCCCTGAGGCCCTTCTTCCTAATTATTGTTTCCTTAGCCCCCGGAGACTATTGAAAAACCTGCCCAATGTCTTAGCTTTATCAGCAGATTCCTCAAGAGAAGAAGCACAGCCAAATGTTAGGTACTCATCTCTATAATTTCCTTGATCCTTCAAGTCCTCCCTTAATAATTATCTAATATCTTTAAGGATTTTTTTCTTCATTTTAACTAAGTTTCTAGTTATTCTCAGTGACAAAATTTTGTATAAAACAAAATATGCCACAGGCTGAATAAGTCCCTACCATTTTTTTTTTTCAGGTAAGGGGTAGGTTTATTCAGTAGACCTGCTGGGACCAGGCAAGGTTGGCACTCCACGCGGCTGGGAAAGGCCTGGGAAAGAGAGAGAGCTGGGAAAGAGAGAGGAAAGAGAAAAGAGAGCTAGAGCAGAGAGAGAGCAGAGAGAGCTAGAAAAGAGCCGCAAGAGAGAGCTAGGTAGCAGAGAGAGAGCTAGAAGAGAGCAGTGAGAGAGAGCAGAGAGAGCTCAAAAAGAATAGAGAGAGCTAGGTAGCAGAGAGCTAGAATAGAACAGAGAGAGAAAGTCTGGGCCTGGGCTAGCCCTTATCTAGGGTATAATGAGAGAGAGCTGGGAAAGAGAGAAAAGAGAGAGGAAAGAGCTAGAGCAGAGAGAAAGCAGAGAGAGCTAGAAAAGAGCAGCAAGAGAGCTAGGTAGCAGAGAGAGCTAGAATAGAGCAGTAAGAGCTAGAAAAGAACAGAGAGAACGTCCCTACCAATGGGGATTAATAACTTGGAATTCTGATATATCCTCCTATGTACTGAGTTTGGTAGGCTTGAATTGTTTCTTCTTATATACCTTTCCATTGACTCAACTCAAAAAACAACAAAAACAATCAAGTTCCAAAATACACAGAGTGATAGTCCAGATACTGGACTTGGTGACCACAGTAGAGACATGGGACTAACTTCTCATGTCTGGATTATCAGTTAACCTACTCACCTGCAAAAATAGCATCATTTTAATTAATCATTGGTTATCTCTATTACCATATAGGTCTACCATGTGTCCTAGAGGGCAGTAAACACTGTTCTTTGTATTTGCTATGAAAATGAGATTAAACAATAAGTGGCATTCAAACAATTTATTATAGATAATTAAGTATGATTTAACAGTATCTATTTCTACAGTTTATAGTGTCCCATTACCCACTGCAGATGGACTGATTTTGTTAAAAAGTTGAGCAAAATGCTTAGCAATTTACCAGTGAACACTAAGGAAGTCACAATAAGCAATAACAAAAGACCTAAATTGTGCTCTAACAGGTATATTATAGGGATAAGGTACCTTGGTATGGGAATCGGATTGCCTGGTTTTTGCCAGGGTTCCTCAACTTACTTGTGAGCTGATTTTTAATAAATTGAACACTCTAAACCTAAATTTCTTACAAAAAGAGGATTCTGACAATTGTGAGAGATGTATACAGATGTACTTACAGGTTTGTAGTGAAAAGCAAACTCAAACTGAGGTAAAGCACTTAAACCATGACCACCACTCCCACCACCCCTACAACTACATTCTCTTCAGTTCCTCCTTCAAAGTTTGAGTAGTAACTTGGAAAATGAAGAAAGGTTTTGAGTACTGCAATATCCACTCATCTAGAGTTCTTCCTAATTACTAGTATTTTTTTAAAGCCAGAATTGGATAATTCATTTGGAAGAGTTTTTAATTTCCTTGAAAATATTCTCAATAAAGGTTTTTAGGGTTATCTAAGCAAAATAAAACTACTTGAAACAGAAGTATAAAAAGAGAACTAGGAGGGCTGGGAAGGTGGCTCAATGGTAGAGCGCTTGCCTTGCATGCGTAAGGCCCTGGGTTCGATTCCTCAGCACCACATAAGCAAAAAGAAAAAAGCCGGAAGTTGTGCTGTGGTTCAAGTGGTAGAGCACTAGCCTTGAGCTGAAGAGCTGAAGGACAGCGC